CACTTTTATAAGTTTTTAGAGATAATATCAAAATCCATGTAATTAGGCAAATTATACCGTGGGATCGGTGCACCGTGAGCATGGTGTATCGATCCCAAAACGGTGCCGTTTTTATATTAAAAAAATCGCACACCTCCTACGCCACTCAAATCTGGAATTGCGCTGCGCATATGCTCTGTTTTAAACGTCCTTACTCCCAGTAATTTCTTTATGGGAACACTGTGTCGGATCCTATGTTAGTTGCTCTGCTTCGTAATCGCATGGAAATTTATGCTTGTTGATTCACGAGGAAATCAGTAAACATAACAACAAACCTATAAATCTCCATCCCAATCAGATCTACTCCATGCGCAGATTCAATACCATCTGCCCAAGACTAAATTGATCTCCGTGATTCCAGTTGAAGGGAGAAAATATGAGTAAAATGCTTACTCATGTAAACTATTTTGCGGGACGGAGGGACTCGATTCCAATTGTGTATATAAAAAATTTATTGTATTATGTATTTATACATGTGAGTTACATATTTTTACACGTAAAGTTACATATTTCTACACGCGAGTTACATATATATACACATGAGTTGCATTTGACCTGCCTGAACGCGAGTTACATATATTTACACGTAAAGTTACATATTTTTACACGTGAAATTACATATTTATACACGCGAGTTACATATTTATATGCACGAGTTGCATTTGACCTGTCTCAACGCGAGTTACATATTTTTTACGTAAAGTTACATATTTTTACACGTAGAGTTACATATTTATACACACGAGTTGCATTTGGCCTGACTGAACGTGAGTTACATATTTTAACATGTAAAGTTACATATTTTTACACGCAAATGTTAATATGTTAAAATTACATAGGCAATATTGGTCTCATTTGAAAGATCATGAAAAATAAAAAATTTTGATATAAATTTTATAAAAATAGGATCAAAAATAAAAAAATTATTAACATTTTTAAAAAAAGGAGAAATTCAAAATAACAAAGCCAAAATATACGTACCGCTTCTTCGCTCTCCCAGGTATATCATGCGCACCGTGGGACGGTTGCATGGTATACGAACTGATGTAATTAATATCCAACAAAAACCCACTAAGTTAGATCACAATTAAAAAGACTTGAACAAATCTATATAATCCTTAAATAAAAACAAATCTATAAAATCAGTTCATATTATATTAAAATAAATAAGTTGACATCTGCTAAATGTCTAGAGTATGTCAATTTTAGATAACTTTGGTTTCATCTAACCTGATTTAGTTTGTTTATGTTTGATCTAACTAGATTCTCGCCGGGGCGTTGCACGAATGAAAATTTATCAATGTGTGATTAAGAATGGTATTATAAAAACGCATAAATAATTGAACTTAGAATAAAGTGATAAGTAATATAATAAACGCTCATAGTTAAAGAGCGATTAAAACATCGTCAAGAAGGAAAAATGAAAATATTATAAAAGAGATACTACGTATAACATTTGAAAGTACGAAGTGGTGAGTAAATAATAAGTGCTCTCATATTGAAACACTACAAATTCCGAAAGACTTCTTTGTAAACAACATTAGTAGTATGATCAATCTGTTGACCATCCTCATCATCACAAATCAATATTTCCAACCCTTTGCGATTGGTAACTCTTCACACGGCAACGTAAAATTGACCATGAGGGGACACTGTTTTTTTTTAGTAAAAGCCCAACATGTGACAAAGATTGACCTTGATTTTTATTTATAGTCATCGCATAAGAGGTCATGATTGGAAACTGCCTTTTTTGAAACTTGAATGATATCTTGCATCTAAAGGTGTTAGTGTCAATCTCGATGTGACAACTTCCTGACCATCACATTTTCCTCCTAAAATTTTTCATATAACTCCAATATTGTACCTATAAAGTTAAAAAAATAGAAAATTTTTGGATCCACAATTTTTCTTAAGTAGATTCAAGTGATAAAATTGAGATTGAAGTGTTAAAATTAAGATCTCACGGTTAATGTTTTTACAAATTTCAATTATTTTTTCAAAAATAGGTCTGGAGAAATTATAATAAAAAACTAAACTCCAAATTTATTTAATTTACGTTGAGAATGTATGAGTTTTTAAATCATAAATATTCCTAAAATATATTTGAATAAAATTTTTATAATAATACTAATAATCGTAAGGATTAAACTTACGAAAAATTGTGCTGAGTGAATAAGTGGAAAAACAACCACGTGACCTTTATTTTAGTACTTGGATCTACTTAAGGAAAAAATATGGGTCCAAAAACTCCAATGGTTCAATTTTTTTAAACTTTATATATTTGATATGAGTGTCATATGAAAGATCATAAAAAGTTATGAATTTTGATATATTTTTTATAAAAAATAAAAATTATATGAAAACCGTTATAAATCTTTTTAAAATGAAGGGATTTTTTTTGTTGAGGGTCCCAGAACTTATTGGAAATAAGTTCTTTCCTCTCACACCTACGGATCTGGGGCCTCTGCCTTGCTTTAAAGCAAGGCAGGGTGCCCGACTCTTCCAGACCGTTCGATCGGAAATTCAACGGTCAAAGATCTTGGGCTCCACCCCTTCCCCGATCTCGAGGTCGTCCTCGTCCCCTCCCTGCCGTCAGATGCCGCAAGGCACTCTGCCATATGGCAGAGGATCCGAATCGCACACCTACACGCTTGACTTCGACATTGGAAATGAGTAACATGCCGGTGGGCGTAGCTCAACTGGTAGATAGGGGGTGCCACAAGGGACAAGTCTCAGGTTCGAATTCCGGCAACTACAATGAGGGGTTACTATGCTAAAAATGAATAGGGCTTCTGCAAGTACTAGGGCCAGAGCCCCATTCTCTATCTGTCAGCTTGTAATTAAAGTCCAACTTACATCCTCCCAGCTAACTGTCCGGCCGGTGCTGGAGGGCCTTCAGAGATGGGGTGTCATCCTTTTTTGGAAATAAGTAACTTTGGAAATAACTAACCTGGCCCACAACTATACTTTGACATAAATATAAATTTTTGCCCTTGATTGTGACGTTTTTGAGCTGCAAATTTAGCTGGTTTTCCACTTTGCTTTGTATATATAAATATAAAGATTATACCTATTTAAATCTAATCTGATATATGAGAGAAGTCAGCCCAATAAAAAACGTTCATAGTCTAATGAGAAATTTGCCATGGCTAAAATAAAAACATAGACTTATGTTTTTTTTGTTGCAAAATATGACTTAATTTTGTTTTTTCTAAATAGGACTAACCATTCCATTTTTACTCCCAATTGAATTAATTAATTAACCCAATTAATTGCCCCCTAGCTCTCTTGCACAACCAAGCAGTCCATTGGTAGCGGGGCACTCCGGTGTGGCCGCGGCGCCGGTGGATTCCGGCGGCGGCAGGCGACGGCTCTGTCGGCATAAAATCTGGCAGGCTGCTAAACAAATTTTGGGAAATTTTCGGTGGTGCTTTGGCGGCATGCGGCGGCCCGATGAGTTCTGGAGCAACAATGGTAAAGCCTATGAGGCTATTTTGGTCCGATCAAAAATAAAAAATTCCTATTTAAAAATGTTTAAACTAGGTCGACCCAGGGGCGAAGCCAGGGGGTCAAGGTGGTCAGCCGACCCCGCTGAAAGTTTGAGAGTATAGAACTCTGAAATATCTTCAATTTGGTATATTATTCCCCCGTAACTCTATACGAGTAAAAAGTTATGATTTCTAGAAATCAACACTATCTAAACATAAAATCAACAAAATTTGATGCTTAATATATTAATTATTTTTCCAAATTTTAAAAATAACGCATAATTAACTCATTATTTACATGACATGATTCAGAAACAGAGCAAAGACAATATATCTTATTGCTCATGAATGCCTATTTATCTAAACTACAAATGAGACATTCAACTCGGACATTGTCTAAAAACGATCTACCATTTTCATCTTGTACATAGTTAATTTTCGAACCCCCTGACCCGTTATTCTGGTTCCGTCACTGGGTGGACCTACATCTCCTAATAACAACAACAACAGAATAACAACAAAATAATACGGAGTAATACTGAGTGACATTAGAACATCTCGGCTAAAGGGTCAAATAGGCTCTTGAACTGACTTAAAGTGGTCAATTAGCCCTTATATAGGAGGTTCTGCATGGCCGTCGCTAATTGGGGCGGTTCCCGGTGGAATATTTTGATGACATTTTTGGAGCATCTTCTTCATTAAGTCTAGTTTACCCATACCAAATTTCAGCTAAAAATTCAACCGGGAAGACAGTCAAATGATTTTCCGAAATGTACTGCGCTGTTTAACTTCGCAGTTATCTTCAAAAAATCATTTGACTGCCTTCCAGGTTGAATTTTTAGCTGAAATTTGGTATGAGTAAACTAGACTTGATGAAGAAGATGCTAAAAAAAAATCATCAAAAAATTCCACCGGGAACTGCCTCAATTGGTGACGGTCGGGCAGAACCTCCTATATGTCAGTTCAAGGGCCTATTTGACCCTTTATCCGAACATCTCTAATGCTACAATGTGCATGGTGCACATGTGCTATGAGAGAACCATATAAATAATAACAAATAAATTATCTCTCTCTTTATTTAAATGATTTTATACAATTTTGATAATATTTTGTCTTGCAATGCCACAATGTCAATATCTAAACTTGACACCGTGAAAAAAAAACTTACCAAAATTTTATGTATCATTATAGCATTATAGATGCTCTTAACCGGTTAATGTAGGGAAAGTTCTCGAAATAGGACTAAAAAGGTTTGAAAATTCCAAAATAAGACTGTCATGTTTTTATTCCAAATAAGACTAATTACTGCCAAATTTGGAAAATACCGTCATGTTCAAAGTCTGATACTGCCAAAACATGATAATAATTAGTCCTATTTTGAAAATAAAAATATGGAAGTCATATTTTGGAATTTCCGAACTTTTTAGTCAATAATATCTTGTTAATGTATCTTAAAAAAATGTATCATAAACTTTTTTTTCGTTAATGTATCATAAAGTTCATTAAATGTCACGATGGCTAACAAATCCGCTGAAAGTTTGAAAGTTTGGTCTGGGTGTGGAAATCCAAAGCAGAGAAATCAAGATGGCTAACAAATCCGCTGGCGTTCATCCATGGTTTCCTTCTCTCTTTAACTTATTTAACTCCGCGACTTACTTTTCATGGTCTACTATAAATTAATTTTATTTTCAACCACTCATTCGATATCTTTGATTTCAGTTATCAGCGCCAGGATGGTAAGTTTCTCTCCTCTGTGTTTCATTCTTTCAATCTTTTATTTTGGTTCCTTTTATTCTTTTCTTCAGATCTGTTCGTTTTTTTGTTAGGAGTCCATTAAATGTTTTTTTATTCAAATTTGTACTTCGATCATGACTTAAGGTTTTGTGTCTCCATGAATTGTTCAGCTTCTGTTTTTGCTTTTGTTTTGCATCTTTTTCATCCTTCTCAAATCTTATTCTTCATTCCAAGGCATACAAATTTTCCTCTCCGTTTCATGCTATTTCCTGTGCCGTAATAGATTTCATTCGTCTTTTCTGTGACTACTTAGGGTGTTTGGTTCTCATACTCGCCAGAAATATTTTTTCTTCAAATGTGAATTCAGATTGAGAAGGTAAGTTCCTACACTCATACCTAATTTGAGATTCTACTTTCATATATGCAACTCTTATTCAGTTTCTGTTAGAAACAATCATTTCTTAATTAACTATTTTTTTAAAACCTGTGCATGTTTTTGAAATTCTACTTCACTAAGATTATTTAATTTACCTTTATAATGAATTTCATACAATTAGGGAAAATTACTATCAATTGAACTGCACATAAGCTGCTGTGCAAAAGCTGATTGATTTCGCATTTGGTTTTGTAGTCTTGCATTAGTTTATTTGGTTTTTATATTCAAAGGAGTAGATTAATAATTATGGATTTAAAATTTTCTATGATCTCATGTTCTTATCAAACTGTGAAGGCTTGCTATAGGTTTTTTCAAAATAAAACTAAACATAAGAAAAGAACTTTCCTTGGCAATTTTTTTTACCCATCCCTAGCCGGCCTAGCATTTTCAGGGACTGAAGTTAGATCCGTAAGGTTTCAATCAATGACTATTTGGTTTATAATGATTTCTTAGCAGAGTAATCCTAAAAAACCTAGCGGAATTGAAAGGCTATAACTTAAATAGTAAGACGAATTAAAAATATTCTGTCATGCTGTGTATTAGGTGCACACATCAATCTTTCAAACTCCAACTGGAATGTTCAGTATAGGACAACATGGTGCTTGCAGTAGTGTGAGCACTTGATGTGGTGGCTATGTGTTTGATATTTTTGCCACCAAGAATTTTCTCATCACAAATCCCATACAATTTAAATTCTGAAATAAAAATCTAACAAATCCAAATAAACCGATCGAATCAAATTTGCTATGTGTGTTCTATAGATATTTTTACGTAACATATGTGAAAATGTTTAAGATAATATAAACACCTGTTAAAAGCTATGTGTGTTCTATAGATGTAGAGTTTGTTTAATTTTTATTATCACTGTCATTCTTGACACCTTCGAGCAGCTTATTATATTGCGATATTTTCTTTTATAGAGATAGACATCCATGAATCGAACCATGGTTGTGATCCAGTATTACCCAAGTTCACCACCTACAATGGGATTTACTAAGCTAATCCCTATTTGTGATAGAAAATATTAAATCCATAATTGTTAATCTACTCCTTTGAATATAAAAACCAAATAAAATAATGCAAAACTAAAAAACCAAATACAAAATCAATCAGCTTTGACACACCAACTTATGGTTACCAATATAATCCTCCAATTTGATTTAATTCGCTATTTTAGCCAAATAAGCGTAGCCAATGGACCCCAAAAAAGTAAATGTGTGGCTCAATACTTCTTTCTTGACAAACTTGATTGTGTTTTAATAGTGTGAATTTCTCATTTTTATTTTATTTTATTTATTATTCTTTTTTTAAATGGTAGCAGGGTCTAGATAAAATTTAGTCCAGATAACGTATGTGCCTGTTTTTAATCTATCAGTTTGAAAATGCTTGAGTATGACTTTAAAATAAAATGATGTTTATCTAACTTTAATTAGCTGTGGGTAAAAGTCCAAAACAATGGAACCTAGCCCACATAGGTTTGGCGTAGAGGTGGAGTATGGCCGGGAGGCGTGGAAAGGATTTGGGAGATTGAGATTTGGGAATGTGTATGTGCTGTAGTGGTGCTTATTATAGATTGAGACATTGGGTTACTCTTTTGGGCCGGTCAAGTGTTAGGAGTGTATTTTCGTTCTTATAAATATTTTTGTAGTTTGGCCAATGAATGGAGGTTCTTTAGATGTTATTTTCTAAAATGTGTTTAATTTGATTTAATTTATAAATTATCCCAATACGTTTCATTAAGGATAATTGATGTTGCAAAAGTAAGCTCAGATTATCTGCATGTTCCATATTCGTGGCCTCCTCTGATTGAAATTGTTATATGCAGTAGTATATTTTAGAAAATTAAGTCAATGGATGTTTTTATAATCAAACATGAGTAAGAAATAAATATTTAGATGCTATTGATAGAATAACTATTTATGATAACTATCATATTATTAATAAACAAATAAGACATGCAGTACTAAATTGTGTGGGCATAAAAATGTCATTGTTGTATAAATTTTACTAACAACGAGTTCATGTTTTATGATGTACTTTATTGAATTAACTTGAGTTTTATTTATTAAAGTTACATTGATTTTAAATAATTTGGGAAGTACATATGGAATATATTCCGTGCATTGCACTGGAACAATAGTTTCATGAATCATGACAACACCAATGGTTACTGTTCTTAAGATATCCACATCACATTTTCACAAAAAAAAAGTCTATATATAAGATATTGAACTACTTCTCCTACCGATCATTAGGATGACACACCTAGTCTTTGTATTTATGTAATTGTATTAGAGCATAAAAATCTCAAATCATAATTGAAGCTTTATTAATATTTCAGGCATCCCAGTTGATATTCACAATTAACAGTGTTGTATATAATATTTGGACAGCTGTTCGAATGGTGATCCCAATCTTTGGTTAATTGGTTTAACACAACATTTTGTGGAGTCTCAAGTATAGTTCAGAAATTGGATATTGGGAACATCAATTAAGTTGCATAACATCATGTCTGTTCTAACAAAATTCCGATGCATCACACTTGATGTCACTGGCACACTGATAGCTTACAAGGGAGAACTAGGCGACTACTATTGCATGGCAGCCAAAGCCGTTGGGCTTCCGTGTCCTGACTATAAAAGAGTGCATGAGGGCTTTAAACATGGATACACTGATATGGCTAGAAAACATCCCTGTTTTGGGTTTGCAGAAAAGATGCCTAACATTCTCTGGTGGAAGACTTGTGTTCGAGATTCATTTGTGAAGGTAGATATAAAATCCATATAAACACAAGCACACAAGTAAACAAGATATTGAATGTTTCATTCAGAGCCAATATGATAGAACTTTATTTCTGCTTATGAGTCCATTTTTTCACTGGACTGCCTTGAGGTGACTCCAATGTGAACCGGGCTGCCCATTTTGTCAACTTTATCACCAAACACTAACTTATTTCGCTGAAAGTAGTGCATGAGATACTTTTTAAAACTAAAATGGTTGTAGACTTGTAGTTTGAGAAAATAACATGCCTACCTTTATTTCCAAAGACTGGTTCCTTTTAATTTGTATAACAAATATCCTTATAAATAATACTTTAAGAAAATTTGGCAGATTCGGCTCTTTCAACCACAACTTTAGAAAATTCAATAGATTTAAGGCCACTCCAGCAATTTTAGATATCACCAAACTGGCTGTGAAACTCTGTCCTGTTTCTCAAATTATTTGCACTTGTGGATCTCTGGCTTTAAAATGTATTGATGACAGGCAGGATATTATTATGATGAGGAGACATTTGAAAAGATCTTTAAACGCATATATGCAACCTTTGGTTCTGCTGCACCTTACACTATATTCCCGGATTCTCAACCATTCCTTAGGTGGCTTCGTTCTACTGGTGTCACAGTTGGGCTTGTTAGCAATGCTGAATATCGGTATCGGGATGTAATCCTTCCAGCCCTAGGCTTGAATCAGGTAAACATGTTACAATAAATTTTGGTATGCCGTATAAGGTCCTAATATGAGTAGAAGCAAAATATATTTTAAACTCCACTGGAAATAGAGTTCCTTTTGTGATATGGAATCAATATACTACCGATTATGAAATTATCCTACAATAGCTGTCAATATTTGTGTATTGGTACTTTTATAAAAGTGTGTGGTATTATGTAAACCTCACACATCTGAAGTATCCATTTTGGTTGAGTTAGACTTGATTTAATATAGTATCAAATACTAGTCTAATAGTGGTTTGTTGGGTGCCAACCCACTCGTTGATTTGGGAAATCCATTTAGAGGAGGTCCATGTGTCCATGCTTACATTTATCTAGCCCACCTTGTCCAGGCTGGGCTTGCCCGGCTTGGGGTGTGAGTTTCATATAAAACTGGTACTCCGTATATGATTTTGTTGTAAATATTAGTTCTTGAGGATCCTTTGATGTCGAGTTAGACCGAATTTAACAATTACAAACAAGATTTCTTGGGATGTGGAGAGTAATGAGGTTCTTCTTATGTGCCATGAACAAGGGATCTGAGTGGGATTTTGGAGTATTCTCTGGCCTAGAAGGTGTAGAAAAACCAGATCCAAAGATATATAAGATTGCATTGGAGAGAGCTGGAAATGTTGCTCCAGAAGAAGTTCTTCACATAGGAGACAGCATCAGGAAAGATATTATCCCTGCAAGGAGTGTGGGGATGAATACAATATTACTTGACCGGTTCAAGACATCTGATGCTGAAAATTGGAGGAAATCTGGAGAGACTGTGCTACCCGACCTTAACGCAGTAAAAGATTGGCTCACTTCTCACAGTGATTCCATTCCTAAGTAAGTAGCTGGTTGTCGACACAAGTGCTCTAAATTATTATATACTTTCTCTTCATTTTAATGCATTCATGTGGAGAAGAGGAATCATGTAGATCGGTGGAATCTCTGTTGTATTTGACTATTTGCGTGATGCAAAGAAAATGAATTTGACATTTAATGAATTTTGTTCAGATACATGTACATGTTGCCATTATTTCGCTTGATAGTGTTTCTTCTGGGGGTTTTCATTCTTGTGGGTAACAAGTATTTAAAGACCAATCAACAACAAATCTATATGTACGTATAATCCAACATTTAAAATTTTAAATTAATCATCATTATAACATGATCAACTTCTAGGATAAGAATCAATAACTTATCGGGAAGAAAGGATAAGCAAACTTTTCAAAGGAAAAAACACCTTTTTGGAAGGGTCAATCTTCAAAGTCTTGCTTATTTATATTCCAGTGATCCAGTCCGTTGGCAAAGATACTAATACAAAAGCTTTACCAATTTGACCAAGTCATACATTAAACCAATGGTATCATCTAGTGTTTGTATGGTTTGTTCTTCTCAACTTCATTTTCTAGGGTTCTAACATTTCCAAAGGAGGATTTGGATGTAATATGCGTTAAATTAAGTTTGTGAGGGAGTAATAAGATCATATGGCCTTGAAACAAAGCATTTCAGCCCTACTGGTTGTGAGGTTATCGTGCCTAGTGGGAGGTCTTGGGTTCGAAATCCGCTAGGTATACAAGGGTTTGAAACTCAATGGAGTGAGTTTCAGCCCTGATTCTCCAGGCTCCCCCAACCCCCTCCCCCAGACCCCCCGGAGTAAAAAGAAAAAAAAAAGATCATATGGGCTTGAAAATGAGGTATAAGTTTATATAAAATAATAATAATTGACCTAACTAGGACTAAATGGAAACTTAATTTCACAAATAGGACTAAAGCCTAAATCATTCACAAATAGGATTGAACATTAATTTTCTGCTCTAAATACCCCTAAGAGTATTAATTCATAATAAAATGTTTTAATTCATAATAAAATCGTAAAAAATACTCCGTAATAAAAATTGTAAACAATAATATAAAATAAATAAAAAAATTAATAAAAATATTGAAAGTCCATAAAAATGTGGATGCCTTTCCCACCGCCTCTACCGCCTTCCAGCACCACCACCTCCGATTGGTGAAAAAATGTCACTTTTTCTGAAAATGCCAAAAAAATGACATTATTACTCTGATAATACCAAAATTTTCATTGAAGCCGCCATCAGTATGACATTACTAATGCAAGTTGGCATTTTTTCGGTGATTGAAGCTGGTGATGTTGGGGTGGCAGAGGCGGCTGTGTATTTTTTAGTGTTTTTTTAATTTTTAATTTTCATTCTAATTTTTTACTCCCTCCGTCCTGCAAAATACTTCTCAATTTGACTTGGATCGTAGTGTAAGAAAGTCGAAATAAAGTAGAAATGTATGATTGTGGTTGAGTAAGAAAAATGTAAATTAATGGTAGCCACACAAACCTTTTCAAAAAGGGAAATGAGAAGAATATTTTGGGACGTCCCAAAAAAGTAAGTGAGGAGAATTTTCAGGGACGGAAGGAGTATTTTTTTAATTAATAATTTTTTTTCTAATTTTTTATTTTTATTAATTTTATTAAATATTTATTTTAGTCCAAAAAGCTATCGGGGTATATTTATCCAAACACACATAATTAATCATACTAGGGAATTTAATACAATGTAGTCCTATATGTGATTTTTGGCTACTTTTTACCCCTAGTTAGATAATTTTCTTATAAAAAACATCCACAGTTTATTTATTTATTTATTTATTTTGTGAATAGAATAGGTTTCAGAACTCAACTTGATTTGAATTCTTGATTTGCATTCAAATCACATTGAGTTCTACTTTTATACCTCGAACTTAATTGATCTGATTACAACATGGATTAACCCAATCCAGAATATGAACCATGAAAGGCTTTAACATTTATTTATTAATTCCCACTAGTATAATTTGAGTTATAGACATGGCTTAAGAAAAATATTTGAAGCTTGTTTGTTCATCTCTATCATAGTACTCGATGCCTTCTTCATTCCCTTTTAAGACATATTTGAATGTTATACTCTCTCAGTCTCTTGGTAACTGTACTTCATTAATATTCTCTCATTATTGCTGAATCAAGGAGATGAGGAGATGGCTCCCATGTTTTTGAACAAAATTCAATCGTTTATTGTGATGATTGGAGAATCACATTATTATGTAATTTCATTGCACACAGTAATAAGAATATAATAGCACTGTCTCTCTGGAGTGTAATCTTGTTCTAGCTATTTAAGCTGAGGGGGGAAGTTTCCCTTGAAGAAAAGATGTAATCATAGTGAGTGCTCGCTCTGGTTGGTAGCTAGGGGGTGCGTGCCCGGCTACTCGTATTGTGACAAGTGTCAGCCCCTTGTACTCTTCCACGTACCCGCCAACCTCCTTCAAAATAAGTTCAAATTTGAAGTGAGCATTGTTTCTTGTCAAAATGATTGAAGATGAGATTGCTAAACATTTCTATGTACCTGGCAACTGTTAGAATACCATGGACGCCAGGCAGTCTTCACAGGAAGTTTCATACTGTCTATTACAAGCCTTGTTGCTGTTACTGATACTATTTCATCTGCATCCCCACTACATTTGTTGTAGTTGTCGTGTTTCTGGTCAAGGTTTCTATTTATCCCTACCCAACCGTCCCAACACAAATAAGAGAAAATTGTCCAAACAACTAAAACATAGCCTTCTTTTAAAAATAGGACGGCATGTTTGGTTTTCTCAAAGTAGGACTACTCATTCCATTCCTGTCCATAATCTAATTAATTGATTAATTAATTAAACTAATTAATTGCCCCCTAGTTCCCTTGCATAATCAAGGCAATCCTTTGGTGACGGGAATAGTCCGTGGTGGCGGCAGCAGACCATAATGATGCCAGTGGCGGCACGGATTCCAACGGCAGCGATGTCGGGTTTTCTGGCAGCTCGGCAGAAAATTTCCGGCAGCCGGCGGCTGTCCGGCGACCCTTAGGCAATACTGTTAAAGCCCTATGCAAATAGTTTGGTCCAATTACAAATAAAAAGTTTTATTTAAAGTATTTTAAGCTAGTAGATCCTATTTTTGAAAAATAAAACCATGTTTTATCCTACGCTCCTAGCTACATGGCAAAAATTAGAAACCTCAACGTAAATTGGGGCAAAGATTAGTTATTTGACCCCATGGATATTCTTCCCTTTTTCGTCTATTTTTGGATTCTAGATTACTTATTTTTGTGTTCTTTTTTGCTGCACTTTCTCTTGTCTCACAAGGTGCTTGACAATTATGTTTGTGCTTAAAGAGAAGGATTCTATTGTTGAATCCATTAATGGTGTTTTTCTTTACATATGACCAAATTTTCAAAAAAATGTAAATATGAACAATGTGACATGATATCATTGTCTTAGTGAAATACATAAAAATGTGACATCATTTTTCAAATATATGACCTTATTAGTAAGATTTTGTTCAATTAGTCATATTTAATGAACAACCTTAACATATTTTTAATAATTAAAATTTAAAAATATGATTTTTGAATAGTAACCAATTAAATGTAGTAAGGTTTTTCTTTATTCTACAAATAAGATTTATTCAATTCTATTAAAAGAAGAAAGCGGTTAAAATTTACGGAGTAAAATTTAGAAGTAAGTCCTAGTTTGGTTTTCATAATAAATCTTATTAACGATATAAGATTAGAATTATGTAGCACGAAAACTGGAAACAACATTTTCAAAAAAAGTAGGACACAAGTTCGAACAAATTTCTATGTCTCTCAGTTCTTTCTCTTTCTAGGGTGGGTTTCCACCGCTAGAGTTTTTTCCCCACTATCGTTTGTAACGAGGAGCGGCTTTAGGCGTACAAGGTTTCTTCTTCTGCCATCAATTGTGCGGCTTTTTCTTCTTCTTTTGCTTGGCGAGATTAAGCAGAGGGAAGATGATGATTGGTCTCTAATTGCCGAAGCTTGTGCAGGGACGAAAGATGGAGGATTGGTCTCAGGCGAACAAAGGTCTTGGACGAAGCGTGGGGCTAGAGGCTGTAACAAATCTGAATTCGAGGTCATCTGTGTTAGGTGGCAACAGAGGAAGCTTGATAGAGAACCTGATGAATAAGAGTTATAAGACGCAAGATGAGGAAGAAGCTACAATACTGCGGATCGTTCCCTTCCTGAACCGCCGTCATGGAGTGCAGGAGAGTCAAGGATTTGGAAGTGTCTATTTAATTTTACTGTTTGTTTGCGATTTTTTTTGCATGATCATACTGTTTATTTTTCTGTTGATTATTTTTATTATTATAAGACTCTTGCATTAGGATTGAGTGTTAGGAGGTCTGCTTTAACCGTCCTTGGCTCATGTAAGCCCATTATAGGATCAACGAGTTATATTGTTTCTCTGAATGTGATTGACTCTAAGTTTGGTTCGAGGGTTGACGGTTGCCTGTGGTCCTTATATCGTTTTAACCTCTTTCTGAATGCTAATGCAGTGATATCAATGTAAGCTCCCCTCTTCCAAAAAAAAGTAGGACACGAAACGTGGGGAAACGCGTAAATATAAAAAATATAGGGTAAATAATTACATGTATAAAAACATCAATTTCTCTAATATTAGTGCTAAACAAAATTGAATAATAATGTAGCACCTACGGTATCTTAAGAAACACAAACTTCTCATATACTCCGTATGAGTGCAAACAAATAGAAATTAAAAAAAATTGAGCTTGAAATTAAAAGTAAACGTGTATATTACGTAGTATTGTATGCGCACTACGTATTGTATGAGCACTAAGGGGATGTTTGGCACTCAACGGTTAGCAAATTTGATTAGCGGGTTGTAAATGGTGGATTGAATCAGCAGATTTGACCAGCAGGTTAGCTTGGCGGGATCCAGAAAGATATTTGATAACTTAGCTGTTTGAAAGTAGCATAGTAAAAAGACAAAAAAGGACATTTTAAAATGTGTGCATGTGTCCATGTTTTGTTTAATACTACGTACTACCTTTGTTCTCTTTTAATTATAACATTGTACTTTTTGCACTATTCACATATTCTACTTTGACTATATTTTATTTATTTATGTATTATAAATTAATTTTTTTAAAAATATTTTTAAATTCCTCTCACTTTAAATTTTCAAAAACTGAATTTTTTATTTTTTTACTAATA